GCCTCTGTTGGACTCATGGGCTCCACTGGTCTCTAGGGTAACTATAACTAAAAACTATCTTGGGGCCACCATATTTAGGTAACTTCAGAAAAATACTTTTTACTGTGCTAGGAACATGCTGAAAACTGCAAGTTGTCTTCAAGTCCTATTTTCAAGTACATTATAAGAGAATCAGAGAGTAATATCCCCTTAGTGGGGAAGTACCATCATCCCTCTATACTAGGCATACAAGGAAATAGAATTATAGGTCGTAAACCATAAGTAGAGGCTGACATAGTCCTAAAGAATGCCTTATTACATACATTCTTCCATCACCCCATAATGCCATTAGTCATGTTATTCAACAATCTACCGTATTGACTTTCATTGTTGCTTGGTGGTAGGGTTGACTCGACGCATTTCGTAACTGCTTCTTCAGGAGTGTACAGAATGTTATCTATGAATATACAAGTTATGTTATAAATATAACATATTACCACAAACATTCCAAATATAATTCATCTCTTAGTATTTACTTGTAAAGTAGTAGCAGACTATAAGCCATTGCCTATTATGTTTGAAGAGACCTGCTGAACACAGACTGAGTGATGAGACCAAAACGGTTTCATCAGTCTGAACCCAAACTTGGCTCTTTGGAAGCCATTACAAGTTGATTCCCATCAGGTGTCTGTATCTGATGTAAGTAAAATGTTTTTGTAGAGAAAGCACTTTACTTATCACTTTTTGTTTTACATCTCAGAGGATGAGAAACCTGTTCAGCATGCTTCTCTATCATCATTAACTACTACATACAGGGAGGTAGTCAGAGAGATGTCTAAAGGATAAATCCCCAGTATAGAATGTAAGGCCCAGTACTTTACAAAAGAATGGACAAGTTCATGGGAATAAAAAATGAGGTGTTTATAAGATGGACAGATATGTAGCGTCTGTTTATAAAAGATGTCTCTTCCAGCTGTAACTTCACATTCCAAAGTATTGGACTTTGGATATGTGTTATGGGAAGACTTGCACCATGGCTGCACCTTGTATACCATGACATCATGTTATTGTCTAATCAGAATCTCTCATAGGGCACTGCCTACACATAGCCTGTATATGGGATAAATACGTAACATGTCTGACATGCAGTGTCTTACTTATAGGTGCCTATTGTAGGTACAGCATCTTTAAATAAGCTAGGAAAATATTGCAAATGGTTTGACAAACATAGTCAAAACAGGAAGTGATAGGAAATCCATACAAGTGAGGGAATCTCTGACTGTCACCAGAATCACCAAAACAAGTGTCTCCATTGGAAGATTGTATTCCTGCTGGGTACCCAAAAAGCAATCTTTGACTAAAAAGCACTCTATGAATGAAGGAGGCGGATCTTTTATTAATACCCTGTCCTCTATTCATAGAATGCTTTTCATTGCTGGAAGCTATAGATTCTATGATTGGAAGAGCAGATGGAAAGGGTGGGCATAGTTGGCACACTTGACGAGTGCCTATGACAGATCCATGAATCATGAAAAACTGACCAAATTTCCCCATCCACAGAAATAGGTGAATGGGGGAATTCTCTCTGCTGATTCTATTTTGACAGCGGGGACTCTTCCGCTATCAGAATACACTGATCGGCTTGGCTGCATCGCTGATCGAACAAAAATGTTCCAACAACCCTGTTTGATCGATTTTTCACAAACGGGAACGGTCATGGATGGATTGAAATTTGGCTGGTCCCTGATGAACTGGCCAAATTTCAATCCATCTATGGCCAGCTCTAGGCTTTAAACCCTGGGATTGTAGTCTAGTACACTTGACAGTCAAGGCTGTCCATGGCTGTAGTCCTCAGTTCCTGAATTCTTTCTTAGTTTGTTGTTGGATTATTATTATTATACAGGATTTATATAGTGCCAACAGTTTGCGCAGCGCTTTACAAAATGAAGGCAGACATTACCGTTCCAATACAATTTGGTACAAGAGGAATCAAAGGGCCCTACTTAATAAAGCTTACAATCTAAGAGAGAAGGTCAAGTGATACAAAAGGTAATAACTGTGGGGGATGAGCTGATAGAAAGCATGACGACTATTTGATTCCAAAACATGAAATGGACTATGGAATTACATTTTCACACACCGCTCCTACAGCATTGTCTCCATCTAAAAATATTCTACTTTATAACTTTTTGTCAGCTCAGTGAAAATAGTCAGTTTATTATAGCCTATTAACGTTGTACAAGTCAACTCCCTATAGAATAGCTCCATATTACTTGAATTGTATTAACCTTTAATGTGTTTTCTTTCCAATTAACCCCACTCATTAAAGTGCTTTGAGTTGGGAGTTATCCCATGGGGTTTGTGTGTCTGCTAAAGCCTGGCCGGGGAAGGGGGGGTTATGTGATTGGTGGCGGTCTGAGGTATGTATATCTCATGTCTGTGAGCAACTGGTCTTTGTTACAAACAGATAATAAAGAGCCTAATTAAGTAGGAATGCTAAGCGTGTGTGAGCTGGGATATACGTGCCCTTGGCTGATGGAAGCACATACAATCAACATATTTTTGGCTGATGAAAATAAGGTTTTGTACATTAATATAATATATAGTAAACTGGCTAACTGCATTACCTAAATATCTTTCATAACAACAGATACTTGTAGCAGATGGTAAAATCAAAGTTTTTCATCTGACACATATAGAACAATCAGAATTATTAATATCTATGTGGAAGCATTTAGTTATGTTGTGTTAATTTTTATTTTTTTTTTTTGTAAAGATAAATTCAAAATGTTTAGTTATGTTTAAATTACATTGTTTGAATTAATAGTGGTACTGCTGCGGTACCATTAGATCGACGTCTGATGAATGGACAAGCAGGAAAACTTTGGTTGATCAGTGTATTTTGACAGCGGAGAGTCCTGCTGTCAGAATGCAATATCCCTGCAGAGGGATTCCTCCATCCACACAATTGTGGTGCCAGCCTGTTTATTTATTTATTTTTTTTTTTAATTCAGCCTGCTGGCTGAAAAAAAAAAACTTCTATGGCCAGCTTTCTATTGCCTCCACTCTAGATAGAGGAGCAATGGAGACACCCTTGGACAGCAACATTGTCAATCTTTGGACAGGGCAGTGTTAGGTGCAATGGCAGATTTAGATGGACTTTACTTATAAATTAAAGCCAGACTCCAGGCTTAAGCTATTACAACAACTGCTTTTTTCTTTTGAGATATATGCTTTACAATCTGGGAATCGCTGTGAGCAAGTAGGTGTGCTTTATTGCAGAAGAGACATTGACTGCCTCTTCTGCAATAAAATGCCTGCTTGCTCACACTGTATCATAGTGAAACTTTATTTGCGCTTTAAAAAAATATTTAAAATTTTTATTAACCCTTTTCCGAAAACTCAAAAATGAAAATTTCCCCCTGCTATGTAATGTTAAGGAGGAGGCTTGGGTGTTAATGGTCTTTTTTTATCTCATTATCAGTTGTAAACTATATTTTAACCTTTTTACTGCCAGCCACGTATGTATTATGATTGCGGCTTTGGCGGGTTTTAAACTGGCCATAGAAAGAAAAGTCGGGGTTTTTTTTTTCATTTAACCAGTGGGTTGAAGGGAAAAACTGATCTGATTCCCCTCATCCACACAATCAAGGTGGATGGGGGAATCCTCTTTGTCTTTGTATTCTAATAGTGGAGAGACTTCACCACTGTCAGAATACGCAGGCCAGTGCTGCAGTGTATAGCCTGCAGCACTGATCATATGGCTAAACTTGATAGGATGGTTGAACAGAAGCCAATCAGTACACTGACTTCAGTTCAACCACAGTGTCAAAATTCAGCTGATCCCTGTTGAACCTGCAGCTGTTTGGTATATGATGTGCACCCTCGAATCTCAGCAGTTTGTGGTGAGAATATTGATTAGGGTAATAGCATTGATCTCCACTAGCCTCTTGTAACATGTTTCCAATTTCGTATTGTCTTCTACAGCATATCCCCAGCCAAATATATAGCGTGTCCACACTCTAATCCTTATTTCCTCTATAGGTCTGCAATTTCTGATAGTTCTCTCAAGCAATACATATATTTAACATTATGTGCGGCCCTTTGGTGAAATCAGGGGCCGCATTTGAGGCCTGCTTTAGGTCATAAGTTGATAACCACTGCTCTACGGTGTCTACTTTCAGAAAATATTTACCGTAATGTTTTTGGGGTTTTATTTAATCTTCAGGCTGAAAATGTTTTATACAATTTGCAGAAAATGCCCCTGGCAGTCAAAGAATTAAAGAGGAACTTCCTGCTTTTTAAAAAAAAATTACAACATAGGCACCTTTTAAAAATATGGGTATTGGCACTCTACAAACAGATACGTATAAATAATTGCAGACTTTTTATTCTCTGCCTACGTTATTTTTTTTTCCTGTACACTGGGTGTTAAAAATGTGGCTGTTAGAGATTCACAGACATGTTTAAAATTCTGTTTTCACTTTGTCATTATGGGGTACTGAGTGTAGATTAATGAGAAAACAAATGAATTTAAACAACTGTAGTACCAGGCTGCAACATAACAAAATTGAAAAAAGTGAAGGGGGTCTGAATACTTTATGAATGCACTGTAAATTGTACATTCACATCAGCCCCTGCCCTCAAGGAGCTTAGAATCTGAGGTTCCTAACTCACATTCATACATTCACATACTAGGGGCAATTTAGACAGGAGCCAATTAACCTACCAGCATGTCTTTGGAGTGTGGGAGGAAACTGAAGTGCCAAGTGGAAACCTACACAGGCACAGGGAGAACATGCAAACTCAGGCAGGTAGTGCTGTGGTTGGGATCTCAACTGACAACCCTAGGGCTGCTATCCACTTAGCCACTTATATTAATATTTTTATGTGTGCAGTGTGAATGGGAACACAATTAACATTAACATATAATGGGGTATTCCCAAATTTGTCTGCAAAACTGGAAGTGCAGATTAAGGTAAAGTAGTCAAAGTTTTTGGCCAACTTACTGCTGGGCAGAATTAAAGCTTCAAAAAGCATCAAAAACCCAACACGTGCATTCTTGATGCATTTTCAGTGCATTTCAGGCCTGGTTCACACTGGGGTTTTTAGTTTCTACAGCAGTTCTCTTCTCGGTTAAACAATAAGCTGTGCATATGTGACAAATCATTTATTAGCTATTTCATGATTTGTTTTGAAAACCGTGACAGTGGTGGGTTTGTCGCAAACGTGCACATCAGAGATGGACGCGGTTCAACCATTTTGGCTTCAACCTCCATCTTGGCGAAGAGATTAGCCGTCCTGAAATATCTTTTTCCTTCATCCTCCCCCTTCCTCTCTGTTCAGCCACAGTGACACCTGGTTGTGGGTCACTGGCAGGCTAAAGCAGCAGGGAGCCCAGGAGCTACAAAGCCCCCCTCAGGAGAGCTGGAGTCCCACTGTCCTGAGAACCTGTGTAATTTCACGCCTCGTAAAAAGATAATGGAGCCTTCCCCGAAGTTCAGGGCATTCCCAAAAAGCCACCCACACCAGGGAACATTTTTAAAAGATCAATTTTTCCCCTATGTTTCATATCTTGGAATATGAGAGACGTACATAAAAACCAGACATCCCGTCAGATTGGCTAGGAGCAGGCGAACAGTTTGATGAGTCATTCGAATTATCTCGGACCATCAGGGGAGCCAAAACATAGAACTCGTGAACCGTGCAACATATAATTTCATAATGCATATCTAGATAATCCCCAGACTTGTCTGCATAATAATATACCTGCGGGTAAATTGTCGCGTGTGCAGCTGGGAAGTTATAAACCAGAATATAAATTATGAAAGATGTGGGCTCCAGTTTAGGGTTCCGCCTGCTGATCCCTCCCTAAACAGAGTATTGGTCAGTCACTCAGAACCACCCCCTGCTGGGAAACTTTAAAGCAGGCTGTCAAGCCTAAGAGAAGTGAGTTGAAGAATTCTCCCATTTTTTTCCATCGTAACATAGGGAGATCAAAGCACCCTCCTGCTCTGACTTGGATCTGCTAAACCCAGGACTTTGGCAAGTACTTTAACCCTTTCACTTCTCTCTGATATCTCTTTACTGTGCTATGTTCTCTGTATATTTATATACATCTTCTCTGTAAATATTTTATGCACCTGTTTGACCCTTTTAGTAATAAATCTCTCTTTCTGAAAGTGTTGAACTGTTTCTATAGTTCTCAATTGCAATTTACAAATCCCTGCCTTTGAAGAGACACTACTGTTTGTGTAAACCTCTGTAAACCTCTGTATACAGACGATTATTTCAATCATTATAGTGTAATAACTGATAACGCTTTCCTCTTTCTCTGTACAAAAAGGAGGTGGTGGCAGTGTGGAGGGTTAGTTGCATAATTAACCCGACCCAGTAACAATCGCTCAGATTGCAGGTACATAGATTGTAGTCCATTAGCTGGAAAATCTTTGTGCAGGGTGCAGCTGGGCGTGGTATTGTTATGCACGTCACATAGCGGTTTTAGATCGGCCAATACTTTGGTCACGAGTTTGGTGAGAAGGTCTGGAGTCTGACGCCGTGATCGTGACATATTGGTGGCAGTGGTCGTGGGATTGTCGCATGTTGGTGGCGGCGATCTTGCGATTGTAACATATTGGTGGCAGCAATCGTGAGATTGTCGCATGTTGGTGGCGGCGATCTTGCAATCGTGACAGGGTTACCTGATGAAAATTAGGCTTTGATCATAATTCTTCTGTAGTGAAAGAATGTGTCTTCTTTGGGTTACAAAAGAACCCTATGAGACCCCTCTGTGTAGCAGCACAGCATGGTTCCATCCTAGAGAATGTCATTTTGGGAACAATACCAAAAACATGTTTAGAATTCCCCATGTACAACGCTTCTGGGGTTCCAGAATACTAAACTTTGACTTTGCCATGGCATACCAGGTTCCATCTTAAAAAGTTGTGAGTATCACGTGTATACTGTAATTGAATCAACATTTAATTGGTCATCATGGGTTATGACGTGATCTGCTTACTGAATAATGTCTCAATGTACAATTCATGCTTCTCATAAATAGTAAGCAACCAGTGGCTTTTGAGAAGATCATGCCTACACTGGTAGCTCAGAGGGAACTGGTCAAAAGGGCTCAAACCTGCCAATTCTGAAGCTCCCATCCTGTATTGGAGCACACTATGACTCCTAATAACAATGCTACTTTCAAGGTAGACATATCAGTGTGTGTTAACATGTATAGGTATCATCTGCTCCAGAATTGGCACCACTTCTAGAAGATTGACAGCAACAGCATAAAGCACTGGATGGATGATAGTTGAAGTACTGGATAGGAGGTTTGACTGCGATAGGATAGGATGACTCTCCAGTATATGACTCTCCAGAACGATCACCAGTAAGGCAAGAGAGACTCAAGAGAGATAGGCAAGAGCAGAGATAGATAGCAAGAGCAGATAGGCAAGAGAGATAGGCAAGAGAGATAGTGTAAAACCGTTTATTTGCAACAATAAAAAACGAAATCCTACTTACACAACACTCCAAACGAATAGGCTTTCACACCACTCAAAGGGTGTACTGTATGTAAAAAAAACCAAAAAAAAAAAACAAAAAAAAAAAAAAAAAAAAACAAAACATGGAAAACGGAGCACCAAGATGGCGCCCGTGCCGGATATGACGTCTTGCCGTCGATCATAAAAGCTCCTCCCACTGGCGTATCTACGCGTTACGTCACTATAGGCACGTGACTTCCTCAGGAAGTCCTGAGGAAGTCACGTGCCTATAGTGACGTAACGCGTGATGTTTGGAGTGTTGTGTAAGTAGGATTTCGTTTTTTATTGTTGCAAATAAAACGGTTTTACACTATATGAGTCTCTCTTGCCTTACTGGTGATCGTTCTGGAGAGTCATATACTGGAGAGTCATATACTGGTACCACCTTCGATTTATGGTATAGCCAAGAGGAGGGAGTTCCACCACCATTGTCGGAGTGATCCATCTTACATGTGGGAATGTTTCCTGGGAATGTTCTTTGAACTCCTGGGAAAGCTTGCCTTATCTTATATGAGGTGTTACATTGCACAGGTTCTTTGGACAGCTAGGCCCCAGCTCCCTTGGGGACTTTATAGCTCCTAGTCCCCTGCTGGGCCCTGGCCTCCTGTGACACTCCTAACACACATACACACTGGCCAAATGTCGCTGTGACTCTGAGAAGGAGGGGGAGAATGAGGGGTAATAGGTTTGTCAGGATGGTTAACCCCTTTGCCAAGATGGAGGTTGAAGCCAAAATGGTTGAACTGTGTCCATCTCTGTGTGTACGCTTGCTACAATGTGGACCAGAAAGATGCCCCTCTAACAGTGATGACAGGAGTAGCAAAGTAGGGACAGAGGAGATAAAGCCTTGTTGTGCAAATACATAAGAGACATGTTTTTTTAATCACAATTATGGATACTAGTACTTATTGGAGGTAGCAGAATATGGTCACACAAATGAATAACCACCCTTGCTAAGTTGCCGTGCAATCCTGCTATATAGAAATTCTGCAATGCAGAAGACCTTGAAATCCAAGTAGTCGACGGTGAATAGCTAACATTGCCAGAAAATTTGTTAGTAAAGCATCTTAAATTATTTGCCTGTTTGCTTCTGGCAGGCAGCCCTTCAGATTCCTCTGTGAAAAGCAGCATAGAATACATGTTCCATCAGCTATTCCACTATAGTTTACTTTGGATTGTGAGTCTATCTAGTAGTAGTTAGTCACATTCAATATTTACAAATTCCATGGTCTTTGGAATAAAACTGGCCATACATGGCTCACTATTTTCATTCAGCCTGCAGGCTGAATGAAACAACTGAACCGATTCTGACAGCAGGATTGTTAGATCGACTTCTCATGAACAGGAACAGACATAGGTGGACCAAAATTTGGCAGTTCCCTGCTGAACCGATTGAATTTCAGTCCATCTATGGATTAGATATCCTAAGGTGTGAATAAAATTCTGGGGCATCTTTCTGACACTGTAGGAACTGAGGAAGTGGCTTGACAAGCTACAAAATGTTTTCACAATTAGGCTCCATGCACACCAGTGTTTTTTTAAGCTCCTAGAAGCTAAATAGTGTTATCATATGTATCCATGCATACTACTTTAGGCAATTAGCATTTTTTGAGCTTCAATGTCTAGAAGCAGAAAAATATAGTTTTGTAGAGTTTTTTGGAGCGTTTTTCCACCAGAAAAAAATCACTAAACACTACTAAAACACTCATAACAGCTTTTCTCTAGCTTTTTTTTTTCCTCTACATGTACTGTAAAAATGCTAATAACATGCTAATACTCCTAAACACTTGTAAAATGCTACTAAAACACTTCTTAAGAAAAGCAATTACCTGCGGGGTTTTTTTATCCAGTGATTTCCAAGCGTTTTTTTAACCTTAAAAAACGCTAGTGTGCATGGAGCCTAACAGAACAAGGCCAGATGAATGTGACTAACTACTATTAGACATACCATGACCTGGATACATGAGAACCTTGACATACATATTGAATTGTGGGCTATACCTGCTCTTAGATACAACATTTTGAGGACAGTATATTCTTATACTGACCCCCTGTACAAGTCTAGTACAGACCCTGTTGGCACCAGCCTTAACTTGAGGAACAATAGTGTTTGTCAGAGAGATTCTTCACCTGAGATAGACCAGCCAACGGTTGTCTGCACAGATCCTATAGCACTCATAGGCTGCAATTGTTTCTAAAGCAAGCCATAGATGATTTTATTCCCTTTCACCATGGGGAATAATTCCCACAGGGCTATTGTGTTCTGCCGGCAGGGTGCCACCAGCAGTAATCACATGTAAAAAATGGGTGGATCGACTTGGGTCCAATTAGCCAATTAGGCAAGGTTCAGCAATGTAAAGTTTGGCCTTAAAAAAAATAAATAACAAACATGTCATACTTACCTGCTCTGTGCAATGGTTTTGCACAGAGCAACCTTGATCCTCTTCTTCTCGGGTTCCCGCCAGTGTTCCTGGCTCCTCCCCTTGACCAGCCGCTTGCTATGGGGGCAC